GCTCTTCTTGCTAATCAGACATGGGTTATTGTTCCTCGTCCACTTGATCATCCGGTGGTCGGGTCTTGCTGGGTATATGCTTTGAAATTTCTTCCTGATGGTACGTTAGAGCGTCACAAAGCTCGGGTTGTTGCTCAGGGGTTCAGTCAAGAGTTTGGTGTCGATTTTGATGAGACTTTTGCACCGGTGGCCAAGATGGTCTCTGTACGGACTCTCCTCACGGTGGCCTCGGTTCGGCGCTGGCCCCTTTACCAGCTTGATGTCAAGAACGCCTTTCTGCATGGCGATCTCAAGGAGACGGTTTATATGGAGCTTCCTCCTGGCTACTTTCCCCAGACGGACATTCCTGATCCTGTCTGCCTCCTTCAGCGCTCACTCTATGGTCTTAAGCAGGCCCCGCGTGCATGGTTTGATAAGTTCCACTCTACTGTGTTGAGTCTTGGGTTTCAGCAAAGCCAGAATGATCCCTCTCTGTTCACTCGACGCTCTGAGCGAGGTATTGTGCTTCTTCTTCTGTATGTCGATGACATGGTAGTTACTGGTGATGATGAAGTTGGGATCAAGGCTTTGACTAAAGGGCTACATGAGTCCTTCACGTTGAAAGAGCTGGGGTCTCTCTCGTACTTCCTTGGACTTGAGGTCCAACGGTCTTCTGGTGGTATTCTTCTGGGTCAAAAGAAGTATATTGCGGATCTTCTTGATTCAACTCGGTTCTCAGACTGTGTACCCGTTTCTACACCTATGGAGCTTAATGTGAAGTTAGGGAGGGAGACAGGGGATTTATTGCCTGATGGTGGTAAGCAGTATCGGAGTATTGTCGGGAGTCTTATCTACCTTACCTCGACTCGTCCCGATATTGCTTATGCTGTTCAGATCGTTGCTCAATTTATGTCAGCTCCCAGGACTGCTCACTTAGCTGCTGTTCATAGACTTCTTCGCTATCTTCAGGGTACTCGAGATGTTGGGTTGTTTCTACCTGCGACAGGTTCTCTGGTGTTGCAGGCATTTTCTGATAGTGATTATGCTGGTTGTATGGATACACGTCGCTCTACGACGGGCTGGTGTGTTCGTCTTGGTGGATCGTTCATTTCTTGGAGATGTAAGAAGCAGGATCGGGTTTCTAAGTCATCCACAGAAGCAGAGTACAGAGCTATGTCAGATGTGGTATCTGAACTGGAATGGCTTCAGCGACTGCTTACAGATTTTGGTGTTACATGTGCAATTCCGATGGAGTTATATGTGGACAACACCAGTGCTATTCGGATTGCTACCAATCCAGTTATGCATGATCGTACGAAGCACATTGAGGTTCATGTGCATTATATTCGGGATTTGGTTCGAGATGGTATCATTCGCATTTACTATGTGAAATCTGAGGATCAGATTGCAGACCTGCTGACGAAGGCCTTCACTGCTAGTCGACATTCTTATCTCGCGGGCAAATTGATGTTGCGAGACCTCCATCAATTTGGGGGAGGCTGTTGAGTTATGCATGCTCATGTACGTGGGCTTAAGCCCATTATGTAATTAGCAGTGTAGGCCTAGGATTAGACTAAATACCCTAGCCGACCCTCTTCCTCTTCTCTACGTCGGCTAGCTAGGGTTATGGACATATATATATATTGTAACCTGTAACAATGCCGTAAGCAAGTTAATACGAGAGTTGATAGCTTCGGCAATGGACTAGTCTTGATCATACCGATCAAGGAAACCACGTAAATACCTGTGTGATTTCGTTTCTAGCTTGATCAATCTTCGCTACGATAAGTTAACATTTAGTCCATGAAATGGTATAAACGTACACTTAGCGAAAAGGCATTAAGAGGATGCAAGAATGTCACTGAAAAATTAACCGCGGTGATTTAAGAAGTTAATTATACACGCCAATTCGAGATTTGCCAGCGTCGGCACTACAACAAAACCCACATATAGCGGCTAATTGTTGAGGCAAATATTGTATTTGCCTCTAAAAGGATATTATATGCAACATATATATAATTTGCCTCAATAGTTTCAATTATGTGCCTCTAAAAGTATGAGATATACTACAAATATATAATTTGCCTCAACAGCTTCCCTTATGTGCCTCTAAAATTATGAGATACACTACAAATATATAATTTGCTTCTATAGATCGTCTATATACAACAAATATAAATTCTGCCGCTATTTGTATTCTTGATTTAATTATTATAAAACTAATTCTTATAAATATCTACTTACAAAGGCACATTATAATTTCTTTTTTATACTATAAGATTTAGAGGCAATTATGGCATGGGTTGTTTTTGCTTTTTTGAATAAAATCGTGGGCTTGTGGCCTGATTGATGGCGGGAGTTTGGGCGCCCATTTTTTCATTTTAATTTTTGAACGGGACGTGAGATTTTTAGTTTTATTTTTAATTAAGATTTAAGAGTTTTTTTTCACATTAATTAAGAGTCCTTTGAGTCCACCGAAGAAAGAAGGTAAACCCTAAGAATCTAAAGACTATATCCTCTTCCCTCTCCTCTCTCGCCGCTTTCCCATCCTCTTCCCCTGTTACTCCGACCTCCGTGTTCCACCGCTGCTAGCCACTTTTTGAACCTGGGAGAACGAGACTCTACGCTAAAGAGTCTTCAGCAAATTACTACAGGCATCAACGTCGTGGTGCATCGCTGATTCGGGTTTCTTTCTAAATCTTAGGGCCTCACTTCTGTCTCTGTTCCCAGTGACCATGGAATCATCCCGAGTTCGCTACTAGCTCGTAGCATCTTCCTCTTTCTTCTATCATACCGGCGCCACCTTCGTTTCAGCGATGGGCATAAAGCAGAGGGGATTGAAGCTGCGGCTCGATCGTCACTTGTGACTTTGGGGTTGAAATCCTGAATTTGGGGTAGTGTAAGGTTTGAAGCTAAAGTTGGGGATTTTTCTATTTTGGTTTCAAATTGTTCATCCGTAAGCTTTCTGAGTTTTACATGCTCAATTTGTTCTTTCTTGCTCGATTGCCTATTGGTTTTAAAACTAGGGGTTAGGGTCAAGACGAACTCTTTTGATCAAAACTAGAACCCAAATACAGAGAAGTGAAATCCCACCTCAGTGGCGGTGGAGGAGATGTTCCTTTCATGATTTTTTTTCGTTCTGTTTAAATAATTGGATGCATGTTCTGCAAATTTGAGCTTCGCCGATTAGTGAGACCTTGCCGGATCTGCTATTGTCTCCGATGCTCATTCAGTGAATTAATTCCTTATGGTAAGGGTTCTCTACTCTACTGATTTAACTGAATCTCTTATCTTCAATTTCATGTTAAGGTTGTGGTCAGCATCTCCTCTGATTCCCCTACATGGCGCTTGTTTGGTTCAGTGAATTTATATTTCATTTTGTTATATGAATGAGATGATAAGAGATCAATTTTTAGTTTCCAAAAAGAAGGGGATAAAAGAAAGAGTATAAGCTTTGTTTTATGAACTCTTTCAATAATTTGAGTGATTAGGACAGTGCTGATTCTCAGCCGATCTCTAAGTTCGAACCCTTGCTTATGGATTGGGTTTATGTGATCTACTTGTGTCAAATTCTGTCTTCTTGGTTGGTGGCCTCACAAGGAAGGAAGGGTACGTCATTGGAGGCTGACTGTCTGTCAAGAAACCTTACCCTATAAAAGGTCCACATGCCATAAGATTTGTGAGGCAGTGATGAACTATAGGGATTAACCAAATCAATTATTCTTATTGTTTCATTCCCTTGTACATGATGGAGAAATCTGTGCACTGTCTGGAAAGTGGTCAGCAGAAGTTAATTTCAGCATGTATTTGATGAACTATTGCTTTAAAAAAATGCTGAGCTACTTACTTGTCGTGGTCTTTAACTGCCAATGGGTATTAATTTGATCGTTTGCTTCTGTTACAGGCTAGCAGCAGAGCTGCCGATTGTTATTGGCTTGCAAGAGGTAGCTCTCTCTAGATTCGCAATTAGTCAATTATTGAACCCGAGTTAGATGATACGCTATTTAAATTTGGATAAGATGGTGTGATTTAATAGTGGGTTGAGTGATGATATCAAACTTGATTATGGATACATTTCTTAAAATAATATCAATTATGATGATCATAGTTTCACCAAAGTAGTAGTTCACTGTAGTAATTTATGATGTTGCTCGTCTGCAGGTACGAAGAGGAGTTGATCGAGTTGAAGTTTATGATCTTGCTAGCAGTCAAGTTCTCTAGGATTCACAAAGAGTTGCAATACTTATAGAGTTGAATTCTAGTTTTCTGCTAGCTACAACTCTCCATGAATGCTTCTTAACTCTCGAATCATAGTATTTTCTGTTTTGAAGTTGTTGATATATGCCCCAATACTAAGTGACTACTACTTTTCCCATTTGTGGACTATCATTTCCCTTCTCTTCAATCTTACGATGTACACTTGACACTATGTTGTTCAACTATCATATCAATGGAAATATGGAATGCTGTACAATATATTCATCTTTCCAAATCAATTTCTTTTACAATAAATCAATTCAATTAATCAAACAAAAGAACATTTGTTAGCCTCTAAAAACTAATTTCAGAAGCAAAATTATCTGCCTCTATAAATAATATTAGAGGCAAATTTAATTGCCTTATTAACTATTTTTAGAAACAAAAATATATGCCTCTACTGATATTTTTGGAGTCAAAATTAATAGCCACTAAAAATTATTTTAGAGGCAAATGCTTAAGCCTCTGATATTGAATATAAAGGCAAAATGAAAGTGACATTAGCGGCTAATATATTAGTCACAAAATCCTTAAACAACGACAGATAACATATGCCGCTATATTTGCTTCTATAGGGCTATAGCCACTGGAGTATTTGAGGCAAATGTATTATTTGCCTCTAAATATATATAGAGGCAAATAATAGGCTTATAGAGGCAAATTCTCTTAGCCGCTATATATGGGTTTTGTTGTAGTGCGGCCTGCTGCAGCTGCTCTGCTCCTACTCCAGCTTCAGGGTCGTTCTTGGGTAGTAGCTTCTTCCGATGCATATCCGCCAGAGCGTCTCAAGCCTCCTTCGCCGAGCTGATTTCTCGTATCTCGTGGAGCACGTCGCAGCCCAGCGAAATCTGAATCGTGTGCAGAGCCGCCGCATTCTTCCTGCGCCGCCCGGCGGCGTCGGTAGTAACAGTGGCAGGAAGAAAGTAATTTCAGGGGAGTCGATTTAATCCCAGAGATCTTGGGATATGATGTAGGTTTTCAGGCAGGCGAGCCAGTTGTCGTAGGATTTTATGTCCCCTACGGCCTGGAGAACGTCCCTGGTCGGGATGATGAAGTGGATCGCCATTTTTTTTTGTGTGTGTGTAAAGCTTTGGGAGAACAGAGCTGCAGAAAGAGAGAGATGGAGAACAAAGAGAACGAGTTCGCCGTCGTGAAAACGACCCGTTCATCAATTCTGGGTCAACCAAGCCGGACCGCGACGACGTGAGCTACCCTCGCTGGAACGAGAAGGTTGTCGTCGAGATGCCAATGCCGACCGATTCGGTGACATTGGAAGTCCGATCTGGAAACAGAGTGGTCGGAGCGGCGACCGGCGGAGGTATTGATGGTTGTTTCCCCGCGGCAAGGAAGAATGCGGGAGCGGAATTCGGCGGGTCTTCCATGTCTCCGTCGTGGGGTATGCGGCCGATGGTGGAAATGAGGATTCGCGGTTTGTTATTGATTTGAATAATTAATTATTTTATTTTTAGTAGTTAAAAATGAGGTGGAAATTTTAAAAAATTAAATTTTATTTATTAAATTTTATTTATATTGCCACGTCACACATTTAATACTCAATTTTTAGAGTTGACCGCCACGTAAGCAAAAGTTAACGGAGTTGGACAGAGAGTGACCAAACGTGAACGGTTTCAGTAAACTGAAGTACCACCAATGAATTTAAATATTTCAAGTGACCAAACTTGAACGATTTTTGTAATCTCAGTGACCAACCATGGCCATGCAATTAACCCGATGTTGCCACTCATTTGTTGAAGAAGATATTTCTATCGAAAAAAATCATATGACAGAGTATGAAGGTCATGTGGTGGCTTGCTGGATGTGTCGTTGTAGTTCGATCAATCCATCGATGGTTCAATTATGATGGTTTTGTTGTTTGTTATTAATGATCTGATGTATTGTTGGTAACAATTTATATTTACTATGTTCATAGGAGTATAAGCATTGCTTTGTTACTTGTTAGTAATGATTTGATGTCTCTTTTTTAGTTTTTACTGAGATTGAGCCTTGTTAGTAATAATTATGTAAAAGCACGACAAGTGCAAAATTCTTTTCATATTACAACCATCAACAAGAAACTCAGAGACAAGATCTTGAAACTTAATGAAGCAAGCGACCAGCAGATAAAAGTCTTAGCTAGGAGTTGCGATCTTTCTTCCACAACCTCCTTATTGCATTGGAGCCCAAATTAGATAGACATGTTACTGAAAACCTTACTAGAGTTGTCGGAAATGACATAAAAGATAGATGATATATTTCAACGGTTTTCATTCAGTTTTTTTGTGAATAGATCTCAGTATTTATCAAGGTTCGAAATTAACAATTTTTAGTAGAAATAACAATTTCATAACATGTTTTTACTTTAGTTCTATTTTTAATGGTTAATAATTTGGCAAAATACACTTGTATAGCCAAAACTTTTGGGTTTGTGCCAATAATAACCAAATTTGAAGAAATATCACTTATAGCCAGCTTTTAAAGTTGTTCATGACAAATATATCCATTTTCGTTAGATATTTTAAAGGTGTATTAACACCGTCAACTTATTTGACGGTTTGCTGACTAGGCGTTGACTCAGCGGACACGTCAGCACCAAATAAGCTGAAAGTGACACTACATATATTAAAATGATTTAATATTTACACTTAATAAATTAATAAAAAAATAATTAAATTTTTTCCTACCTCGTATATAGGGATGACAACAAAACCCGAACCCACGGGTACCCTACCCAACCCAACCCGGTCAACGTGGGTAAAACCCGTGTTGACGAGTTTTGGGCCGGGTTCGGGTTTAAACCCGCTACATTATTCACGGTATGGGTTGGGTTTGGGTTTAGGCATACCCGACCCATGGGTACCTGCCTACACCTAAATAATTAATTTTTCCGGTATATTTAATATTCTAAGCAATATATTCTCCTTAAACAATTAATCTTCTTTATGTTTGTGGAGACATGTCTAATTTATTCTTTAAAATTGTGTATAATGAAGTTGATATTATGGAGTGGAGAGTGAAGATTGAAAAAGTTTAGTTGACAAGGAGGAAGAAGCTTTCAATTAATCATGTTGTTTATAGATGTTCATCCTTAATTTTGAACAATTTGTAATGATAATTTGCGGTTTGCTTGTATGCTCTAGATTGGTGTTTTTGTATGAATAATTTGTATGAGAAAATTTATGTTAGACTTTTATTTTGAAAGAAACTTGTTATTGTTGTTTTTTTACACAAAAATCCACGGGTACCCATGAACCCGCGGATACCCAGCGGGTTGAGTTGAGTTTGAGTTTTTCAAAACCAGCGGATTTTACCCCGAATTTTTTTGGTGAATAAATCCATGGATTTGGGTTTGGCAAAACTCGCCCCAACCCGACCCATTGCTATCCCTACTCATATACCCTATCTGCTTTGCACGAAACGTCTCTTCTCCTCTTTCCCCGATTTAGTTTTTAGGGTTTGCCCCCTGCCTGCCGGCGATTGAAGCGGCGATTCCTCCCCAACTTTGCCGCAAATCAGAGAAGAGGACGATTTCTGTTGTCTGGCGCCGTTAATGAGGGTAGCTTGTTGTTCTCACCTCCGCTTGCTGTTAAGCCGAATTGGAGAGCCCGTCCTTCTCTGGTTAGCTCAATTTTTTGCGCTTGGTTTTTGGGAAAAAATCGCAACCATGAAGATTCGTTACCAGTCGATGCTTATTGCGATAGCCATTGCTGCTCTATTTTATCTGCTTCGCGTGGCTCTGTTCAAGACTGGGCTGATTTACCTCCCCCAAAAATGGTGGAGAGTTGTGGAAGATCGCTTGCATGTTTATCACTACTTCAAGGTCTCGGAATTCACCGTCGACTTGCAGGAGAACGAGCTTTACCGGAGGGATACTCTATACCTGATATTATGGAATTGATGCAAGATTCGGATTTCACGAATCTCTTCACCGAGAGGACTTCCAATGAGATCGTCCTCCCCCTCGATCCTAACCAGACAATCGACGATTATTTTCTCGAGCTAGGGTTTCTTGGATTAACAGCGATGATGGCGACAACGGAGGTAGTGGGACTTTGGTTTTGAAGGTCGGGAAAGCGGTGAGGAATCGCCGCTTCAATCGACGACAAGGGGATTTCGAAGAAGATGAAGATAAGAACGATAAGTCTGGTCAAATGAGGGTATTTCTATTTTTTATGGAAATTTTTTAATTAATCATTAAACACGTGGACAATTACATAGGAAATTGGAAATAAGAGCTCGCCACGTCAGCAACTCCGTTTGTCCTGTCTGAGTTAACAGTAACACCGTTAAAGAATTGAACGAAAGTGGCTATAAGTGGTATTTCTCCAAATTTGGTCATTATTGGCACAAACGCTAAAGTTTTGGCTATACAAGTGTATTATGCCTAATAGCTTAGCTAACCCTTGAAAACAATCATAAGTTTTAGAAGTTATATATTGTGGCCTCTACCGTCGACGAGGGTGAAGAGAATGACAAAGAGTCGGGAGATTACGTCATTTTGGGAAGATTAGCTATAAATTCTTTTTAATCGTCGGTCTGTTAGTGCACTTAAACACATCGCACTTAAACACGCCAATTAATCATACTTAGCTTTGGCTAAATGCCGTCTAGGTGTTATGAATGCCTAATTGTCTGCTTAAAGCCTAGGTGATGCTTTTTATCACTACCTAGCACGTACACATAGTTTTACGCCTTATTAAATCTTGGTATTTATACTTATGAATTATATGACTCTTAGTTTAATAGCGAGATTGAAATTTGAGATACATATATCCTCCTCCTCCCAATCATATATGGAGGTTCCCCGCCTGTAGGCTGTAGCCATTCCGTTCCTTTTTTCCTTTGTTCTGCGCATAGTACGGGAGGACTCATCGGTCCTTTTACTTAGCTTTCTTTAAATCCATGAGATGGGCTTATTTTCATTCATGAGTCCGGCTTCTTTTGAGTGCCGCGGTTGGGCAAAGCGAAATTCGAATGTCACTCAATTAACCACAGAATAGTCAAGCTTCTTCTGTAGGAGAAGCAATTGGAAAAAAAAGTCTAAATTAACTAAAGACAAAGACCAAGTTGTCCATTATGAATATGGTTAGGAATGTCCAGGGCGATTAATTAAATTATCATGAATTCATTGCAATTTGACTGAAAGCAAACACTTTTTCACTAATCGACTATAAAATAGAACCACAATAGCATATGGTTAGGTAGTGGCGTAGTTAGGATCCGAGTTTAATGTGTATTATTTATAAAAAATTCTATGGCACCATATTCAGTTATCAAGCAAATTTTCTTCGGAATATTTAGTCATGTAGTCTAACATCAACTCATAAGATATTAGATATCTATCTTACATTTTTTTGTAACTTATAGTTAATAAGTGGCATTTCAATAACTAGCTAAAATAAATAGTTCCCAAGCAAAATTGAACACATAAACGTATCATAAAGTACATTTGTTGACAAATAAATTTTATCTTAATAGAAAAATTGTTGAATTAAGGGCTTTGTAGATATAGCCGGGGAATTTTTATACATATTTAGTAGGGCTAGAAAAAATTTTAATAAAAAAATTATAAAAATGAGAATTTTTAATATTATATGACCGATAGTCTAATTTATTTGTGTGTTTCATAATACTATAACAATTAAATTTTATAGGAGTGGGGTCCTGAATTCTGAGTCTAACCAAATTAAATAAGTATATACACATACATAATCATTTAAACTTATCCTAGTGGACCTCCCTCCGCCACTGTTCTGTCGTTAGGGATGTGTGGTTAATCAAGCAATCGCTAAATGACTATGTCTAAAATTATACATATTATGTTTCATATAAATATTAGCGATAATTTTTTACAATTCTATGTCTCGAATAAAATTTTCTATTCAGAATCATTAATGCTCCGATTTGATATTAAAAAAAATATAAGTACATATATCTTTGTTAAGGTAATTCTTTACATCTTACAACTTAATATATGTTCATGCCAAATTTGTCTTAGAGAAAAGGAGAGTCATTCTTATATCACCCGAATGTGTGGTTGATTCTGAGTCGTCTCTATCTGAAAAGTGCAGAATAATTTTTCTGATGATATGACCATTGATGATAACTATTAATAATTCATAATCTCTCCAACTATTTTCACTAAATTTGCCAAAGAAAATTCGAAGAAGACTTTAATGAGTAATTTTATAAGAATTATATAACGTCAAAGAAATTAGTAGTTGGATAATAATCTATCTCTAATATTCTAATATTTTTAAGTTCAAGTTCATTCATTCGAGAGAAAAATTTGTACCCACTAAAACATAAATTTTTCTATCAAATAGTGTATCTCAATTTTTATTATTTTATAGATTAGCATCCAGTTTCAGCAGACAATATTTTTAATCTAACTTTATTGTTTTGTCGCGAGGGTGCTAGATCTTTTGGAATGCCTACTGAGAAACTACTTAAAGATAGCGCCAAAACGAGATAACCTTCACCTCCCCATCCCCTACAGATTAAGAGAATGATGTTAAATTTTCATATCAAATTCACTGATCACAACATTGCGAACATAAGTGGGTACATAGTTTTGAAGATAATGAAAGATGAAGAAGAGCAACCCCGGACAAAGTTCATGACATGTACTGAGTAAATTTAAGTTCTTGAAAATGTAGTTTCACAATTATAAATATTTTGGGCATTAAATTTTTGCTTTCAGTGAAATGCAGAAGGAGAAGGAAGAGTATGCTAATGGTATATGTAGTGGAATTCAGTGATGGAGATAATTATGTTATTAAGATAGACGAAGATATTGTTGATGGTGGATATAAAAATTTCAATGATGGGAAGAAAGAACAAATTATTGATAATATTTATTATTTAGATGAGAAAAATTATATTACCGCGAAATGTGTTTCACATTTTCTAATGTTTACCACTAAAATTTGGTTTCCAATGGAATGTAGGAGAAAAGGGAAGAGATTGTTGATGGTGAATATCAGGTTTCATTAATGAAGATGATTTTCAATGATACCAAATTAAAGTGTAACTTGATTCGGACAATTATTATTATTATTTGTACCACTAATATAGTTCATCCGACCAACGGACGGGCCCAAAACTAGTATTTTAAAATTGAGATACAATATCACAATATTTAGCATTTATTAAAGGGCTCTCCCCTCTAAATGGATAAAGTTAACTAGTGAAGTGTAGGGTGCACTCACTGTGCAGGCCGATCTCGCCCTATTGGGCCTGTAACTTATTTGGGCTTGCTTGACTGGCCTTTTTAGATTGTGGGCTATTTAAAGAGACAGATCAAAATCGTTTGTTAACCGAAAGCCCAAGAACAGAAGCTGGAGGAATGAGATTGGGATTTTCGATCAAAAACCTCCTCTGTTCCGTTCGTACTGCTGAACGCTCTCTATATGTTCGTTTTCTTCGTTCATAACAAACAGGAAACTTCCATTTCCTCTCATCTCTAAACAAATAAATGCTGCTGCCGCACATACCATCACCATCTGCTTCCAATTCTCCATGGGATTCATCTCACAGAGGTCACTTCTTTACTCTTTCATTTCTTCCCGCCATGCCATGGATTCCGGCGCTGTTCTTCTCAAAGCTGCAAAACTAGCTAACCCTAGTTCATTTCCAACGGCTGACTGTATTTCAGGTGTTTGCTCGGGCAGTGCGGTGTCTTTCTGGGGTCCTACTGTTGCGTTCCCAACAAAAGCCCTTAGCTTCAAGGTTTTTCTTTCTTTCACTCTCTCGGTCTTCTCTATTGCATCTTCCGTTCATCAAGTCTGAATCTTTATCCAAAAATTACAAAGAGAAAACAAGCGAATCATTGAATTACATCCAGAATAAGGTCCCTGAACGTCTTCACTTGTCTTTAGTGTTAAAAGTAATAGTAAATTGCGACTCTGGGCTATGGCAGATTATTGCACTTGAGCTTCAATTGTACTCAACTTTTCTTATTCCAATGTGGGCTTCTCTGCAGGTTCATCCAAGAAGAAGGCCAACAATTTTTAGGGCTGTCTACTGTGCCAGTTACTATGAGAAGCCATCCTCCAAGGGCAGGAACCAAGATGGGTATCTCCAAAATGTTGATCTACCACCGGTATTACCCAAGCAGAAGAAGAAACCCTTCCCTATCCCTTTCAGAAAGATCCAACAGGCTGCCAAGGAGGATAGAAAGATGGCACAAATGGGGATGGAGAAGCCACTCGAACCTCCCAAAAATGGATTACTCGTCCCGGAGTTGGTCCCCGTTGCATACGAGCTGCTTGATGCTTGGAAAGCACTGATCAAAGGTGTTGCACAGCTCCTGCACGTCATTCCTGTCTATGGCTGCAGGTAAAGTAAGCAAACAGAATGTTCGTTTAATTCAATGAACGACTGAGCTTCGATGATGAGTTTAGGCATCCCTTTGTGTTTTGCTCCTTCACAGTGAATGCTCAGAAGTCCACTTGGCTCACGCTGGCCATCAGATCAAGAACTGCCTGGGTCCTATGAATGCAACCCGCCGCAGCTTGCACTCATGGGTTAGAGGTTCGATCAACGACATACTCATCCCGATTGAGTCATACCATCTCTACGACCCATTTGGGCGGCGCATCAAGCATGAAACTCGGTTCGACTACGACAGGATTCCAGCAATTGTGGAACTCTGCATCCAAGCTGGCGTAGAAATACCAGAGTACCCTTCCAGGCGAAGAACGAAACCCATCAGAATGTTGGGTCGGAAATTGCTCGACAGAGGTGGATTCATCGAGGAGCCCATGCCATGGCGCTCGGGAAACACATCATCATCATCAGCCCTCTCTGATCTTGACACTTATGGGGCCTTCGAACGATACACTCAGCCCGACTTGCATGACATACCTCGAATCGCGCAGGAAACAGTGGAAGCATACGAGAAAGTGAGATGGGGTGTTAGGAAGCTAATGAAGAAGTACACGGTAAAGGCGTGTGGTTACTGCTCTGAGGTTCATGTGGGACCATGGGGTCACAATGCAAAGCTTTGTGGAGAGTTCAAGCATCAATGGAGAGATGGAAAGCACGGTTGGCAGGATGCCACTGTGGATGAAGTGTTCCCTCCCAATCATGTGTGGCATGTTAGAGACCCCAAGGGAGCTCCTTTGAAGAGTGGCTTGAAGAGGTTTTACGGGAAGGCTCCAGCTGTGATTGAGATGTGCTTGCAGGCTGGAGCAGATATCCCTGACAAGTATAAGCCTATGATGAGGCTTGATATCATAATCCCCGAAGACGATGAAGCAACATTAGTTGCATAATCTTGGTATGTACATACTATTAGACTATTATTTGTGTAAAGTACTAGGAATAGGGTGTATCAACTATCAAGTAATCGTGCCGTCTGCTGTTTGTTAGATCCATACTTTCGTGTTGGTCAAGTAAATATCCATCAGAATCGATTAAGATGGATCAAGGTAAAACCGATCTAGTCTATACTACCACGAGGTCAGCCATGACAAGGTGTCACCATACCCTACAAGCTACAACTCATGGATCCGTTGTAATCGAATGTGGTTAGGAGAAACTCTATTCCATAGTGGGAATTACAATTCAAACAAATAACAGTACAGTGATCTTCCCCTTTTCTGGTCTGAGGTCCTAATTCAAACAAGCTACTGCTTTCAAGCACATGGTCTTGGGTCTTGAACTCGAGCCTTTAATTTGTTGTCTTTTCCTTTTGGTTGTGGTGTTGAACAAGATTTCTGGCATGAGGGAGAAGCTGCAGTCAAAAGAACATGCCAATGATTAGGAGAACACTAATAAATCACAAAGTTTAAGAAAGTAGCATGTTGGTGTGATATAGTTTAGTGTGAGAAAGTGAAGGAAGATCCACCTAGATAAAAGACTGCTAGAAGAATGGTTAAAAGGAGCAGCTCAGCAGTCAACAGCTGTAAACCTTTGCTGATATGCTATGAACATATTTAGCTGCAGAATCTTATGGAACCATTGGAAAGGAAAAGGTAATGCAAGTAGGTGAAAAAAGCAAAAGAGACCATTTGCAGTGGCTTGCAGTTTTTGTAGGCAAATATAGGGGTCCATCCAACACTAGGTAAGCCTTTAACCAGCCATGGGATTTGGTTCAAAACCCAATAGTCCAAATAAATAGGCTGCTGCTGTGCTGTCCACCTGATGATCCCAATTAAACATAAGTCGGTATGTATCTTAGCCATGAAATTTGGGTTTGACTTGGTCAAATTGGTTTTCTACAAAGATCCATTAAAAGAAGAGAAGTGGGTGGAACAAGAAAAGAACTGGAAAGTGAAAGCGATCGTCCAGGCCAACCCAACCATCTGCTAAAAAGAAGGAATGTCTGCTCTGCTCTGCTTTGCAGTGCAGTTAATGGATGTTTTTATTGCAGAGTAACAACTGGAGAGGTTCTGTTCTTCCACTTTGTAAAGGGTGCAGCAAAAAGATAGAACATGAAGAGTGCAATTCCAAGTTTGAAGCAGCTAGTTAACCTCGTTATCATCATAGCTAATTTATTAGAAATTTTTGTGTCATTATTTAAAACAAACCAGCCTTTTGACACACAAGCAAGATGTTAACAATCGTGTCTAGTGCATATATATATATATATACATGAAAATAAATATATTGACCAATGACTAGTACTAATATATATTAATATAATTAAATAATTTATCATACTTATAATCAGTTAATCGTATATACGATGGTTTGTCAAAAAAAAAAAAAAAAAAATCGTATATATGATGGAATTAACTAACACACTCACTTGGAAACCCCTATTATTCGGATACCAAGTGCAAAAGGGCTTCCCATCACAGTCAAACTCAGACCCTGCCCCGGATTTTATGCTACAAAAAAAATTTGGAAATGAAAGAGAAGGAAGGGACATAAGAAGGGAAAAAGGGGTTGTTCTTCATTCTAGTACAATGAATCTCAAAAACACAAAATTAGCAACTTGGTTAGTCATTTCATTTCGTGACATCCTTAATTACCCTAATCGTCAAATTGTCACTTTCGATCCAAACCAAATGGAATCCCATCAACAAAGTCCCCAACTCGTGTTTCGCTCACCCAACCTTATGGGGTTGTTGCCTTTGATAGGCCAACATAACCAGCAGATTCATTGTTTAATTAATAATTTCCTATCAAAACCAAACATCACGTCCCATTATCTTTGTCTATATGTATTTGGTGACAAAGATTAGGACCACCCAAAACCTAGCATGCAATATTATTATCATTATTATTAGCATATTAAATGTTATTGACTCATTGTTGGAGTTAGATTGTCATTTTACTTGCCATGCTATAAGATATGATTGAGTTTTTCAGGCAAAGATCATTTCAATTGAAAATTCTATATAGCACATCTAAGTAGCGAGAACAACTATGGATAAAGATGTATAACTTTGTAAACCTAATATGCTCACAAGAATGAAGATGGAGATTTGTTGTAAACCGCTCCCCTCCTGAGTGGTTTACCCATCTTGTAGTTAACTTAAAAAGAGAGACTTTTCTTATGAAAAAAAAAAAAAAGAATAGGAGAGGCTTATCCTCAAAACAATCAGTTGTCCTTAAGTTTAATGGTTTAACAACCTGAACCCACCTAGCAGGAATGATTGACTAATAGAAGGCTAAGTTACGCAATATGAGGATGGGTGCAAGCAAGCAAGCAAAGGAGGATATCACAATCTTATTATCAACCACTTCACAACCGATTGACATCATCTCTAGCTATAAAATATAGAGCTTTTCTATTGGGTTGTTTGACTTCCCCATTTACTTATTATATATGTTCTATTCTTATTTTTAACCTAGCACAGGAATCGGACAGTTGGCCGGAAGAATTTTGTCAAAAAATATGATATATAATAATGAATATAATAGATGATTTGAAATGCATAAAATGATTGTTTCTACATTAGTTATGCACATAACATTTTTAAAAGTAATCCAACTATGCATAATGTGTTTAGACCTCCATGAAAAGAGAAAAAAATATAATATAAGCATTACATATAATTATTGAATGGAAAATATAACTAATTGTCATTCATTACTTAATTAAACAATATAATCGAATATTAGAGTTGCTTCTCATAATACATACATAATCAACCTTTAGGATAAAAGAAAATGTCTCATAGAGTTTAGTATGTCCTTCAAGTTTTTCCCAATAGGGAGTATTATTTTTTACCACACTGTTCGTAATGAATATGAAGTTGCTTGATTTGAAATATATAGGACATGATGCTAAGTGTCGCTAATAGTTAGTTGGACAATGTGTTGTGTACGGACTTCCCAAATTATTCTCATATCGCAGACATGTCTAGAAAAAATGTAGTAATTTTCATGCAACAAATATTTTTTCATGAAATAATTCAATAAATAAAAACATATGAAAATAATATTACATGAAATATATGTGACTCATTAAGTTGATGAAAGAGTGAGGGTATGAGTAGCATAAATTTATTTTAAAAATATAGAAGTTGCAAAGCGTCTTTCGAGTTGCATGAGATCACATATTCTCATTATCGCTAACTGACTTATATTTTTTTGCAATAGATAGTTCAAAATGTGTCTTAAAACTTTTGTTTCCACCAGTGTAAAAGAATAGTTTGAACCAAAGGATTGTAAAATCGCATCGAAAAAGTTGTTAGTAGAGTATATTATACCGAAGTCATAATTTAACTGTGGTTCAACCGTTTCATATTGATAAATATCACCTATCGATTTAGCCTATGATGTGAAGTTTTATGGTCTAACCGTTGTACGTACGATCTTTCAATACAAACTTTAAATTAAAAACCACTAAAATATTGGCATTATCAAATACCCCTTAAAATCTCAGAAATTACAATAATCATATTTAGGAAAAAATCTTCCAAATGATAATATCGATTTATGATTTTAAATCGAAATGGAAAAAATATGTCAGATGTTATCTCCTAAAATAAATTAAAACTCAACATAATAGGGCCAAAAATATCTACTATCAAAACACAAGAGCAATTATTTCAGACTATCTCATTTTCCTCTTTTAAATCTGTCCTCTCAGCTCTCACTCTCTCTTTGCCTTCCTCTTTGTTTTCCTTTTTTTCTTTCATCTCTCTCAGCTTTGTGTCTCACAACTCTCCCCATTTTTCCTTCTTCTTTTTTCCCACCACCTTGAATCGAGAGAAACCTAGAAACATCCCAATTATTTCTCCAATTTTGCATTCGAAATACTTCTTCTCCATTCACAATCGATAGTGTGAATCAGAGCACCTGAAACCTGGCGAATAGATGATCGCTTATTCATCGACAGAGCAAAGTAGCTTGATAGCTTGTGAATAAACTAATTATTAAAAGTGATAAAAGCAAAACTCGTTAAACCAATCGAGTGAGTGTATAGTTAGTTCATCGCTTAAAGCCTTAAACCATTGTATTTATCTAAAGAATCAAAATGCATAATCAGGTTCATCTTCACTTTACATGTATTTGTCGTACAAATTCATTACATATAAAAAATGGTTTTGAACCGACGTCGTATCAAACTAAATCTCATCTTATAGGATTATTGGATCCATGTCAGATTAGTAAAAGGTCTAAGGCTATTGGTCAACCGGGCTGAAAATTAATACTAATTTAAGAATTATATATCACTTCCAAAATGTTTAATACTTCAATTCAATAGTCAAACAAATGATATATGAGTTTCAACCCTTCCTCTAATTTTGTAGACAAAAAAATCTCCCCCACCCCCCACATTTGTAAAGAAATACTAAATCACCATTTCTTCTTCACTTTACTTGCTTCTAAAGTTATTTTTGACGTTGTTTGTTATTACTGCAAGTTGTAAAAAAGATTTTTCAGCTATGAAGTTAATCAAAAATGATTTTATAAATGAATTGTTAGTTGTATACATTGAAAAAAGTTTGAGTTTCAAAATTAACAATAAATGTATTTTATAAACTTTTTAGAATATGAGCCGTCACACGTTGATGTCAGAAATTACTCATTAATTCAAATTTTATATGTTATTTTTAGAATATTTTGTTTTATTTTTATCAAATGGAGCATTTCTCCATAAAAATATGAGTTCACCAATGTAGACTGTGTGGTGCTCACACTTTTGTGCAAGCCTTTGAAGTTTAAGTCTGGTACGACCCATGAAGCATTCATGCTTGTACCTGGTCGATCCATATACATTGTCTTCATGGTATGCTTTAACTGTGTCGTGCTAACTCGACCATGTGTCTAGGTATAGTTATATGCATCATACTTATTCACAACACCAAGATAAAAACAGTCATAAATGCACTCAGTATTCGATTTTGACTACTTAATGAAATACTACATTTGAATAAACTACAACTGATATCACAAATAATAATTATACCTCTAAATCATACATAAAATATTTCAAACATCACAAATATTAAGATTAAATTAATTAATATAAAGAGTAAAAATTGTACAATGATGTTAACTATAACTCATTTATATGTTAATGCCCTATAAATTGATCAACACATCCGATCCAAAACTGACGAAATGAACATCACATTAAACTCGATATCGTCTCATTATTATCGAGTTTCATTCATGCCAGATTAGCAAGAGGTTAACGTTTAGCAGTTAACCAGTCTAAAATTTTAGAGAACCAGTCACCTATAGTTTTTATAAAATATTATTGTTTCATATTAGTTCTG